GTATACAGCGTTCTACGTCAGAGTCGTATACAGCGTTCTACATCAGAGTCGTATACAGCGTTCTACATCAGAGTCGTATACAGCGTTCTACATCAGAGTCGTATACAGCGTTCTACATCAGAGTCGTATACAGCGTTCCAGATCACAGTTCTATACATCGTACAGGTCCACCACTTCACAGGCAGTTTATGGGGACCCCCCATGCACGATATTTGAAGGAATTTTTCATTTTTATTCTTACCCTCTAAGTGATGTAAAAATCACTGCTCATTTAAAAATGTTTTTTTTTCATTGATTCCTGTCCCCTAGTGCAGTACCTGGACCCCCGTGCCAATAACTTGCATATAAGCCCTCTTAAAGGGGACAATCGTTTCTGAAAGTTGTACCCTATTGACTTGCATTGAGTTCGAATTCAAACTTTTCGGATGTTCAAATATGAACCAATTGCGGCCCTGTTCTGCCCATCACTAGTAAACACCTCTCCAAAGTATTTTGGTCAGTTGTTTCCAGCGAAGGGTACTGTTAATCTGCACTTTTAAACAAGTGGCAACCATTTGGGCAAGGCCTTCTTGTATTTTGGTGTGACTATGCCTCCATAAAGCTCTGATGAGCTCCATAAAGACATGATTTGATAAGTTTGAACAGGTGTGATGTTTAGGTGTCCACAAACGTTTGACTGTAAAATGTATCTAATAGGGCCTGCAGGTAGGGTTGCCACCCGTACAGGAATGACACGGAGAGTCCGGGTTTGGAACCCGGGAACAGGATTCCAACCGCAGACGTGCTCACCTGACAGCTGGCTGTGAGCAGCGGCGGACACCGGGCTGTTAGCGGCAGTGGGCTGCCGGCGGTGAGGTGTCAGCGACGGCGGTCGATGAGGTGTCAGTAATGGCCGATCAGCTGTCAGCGAGGCTGCCGCCGGGCGGTGCTTTCATCAGACACTCCCTCCCTCTCTCTGGTGTTCTCTGCTAGTGAGAGGAAGTGACATCAGAGAGGGAGAGGGAGCGAGGGAGAAATCATTGCGTTTGCAGTAAAACAGAACGCTCTCAAAGTTTTGCCAATCGTTCGATCACACTGCATGCAGGGGCGCGTGGAAGTTGTGCCATTGAATACAATGCACCGCCATGCCCCCTCCCGCACCTAAACGCGTGGGGGAAGTTTCACAGCGATTGCGGTGCGTTCCAGCAGCTACCGCTCTGGAGCGCACACGCTTTCTGTGTGAACAAGGCCTTAGTATTGCACATAAAACAAACCAGTGACATGTTTTGTGGGGGACGTCTTTTATGTGCTATAGTACATATCATCCAACACAGGCGTCTAGATTTCATGTTAGTACAAAATCCATTGTATTGATAGTTGTCGCTCAATCGACAAGCGCTTATGGGGCCGTGCAGGGTCCCCTTCATCAGGCTCAGAAATGGGCTTGTCGTTTGAATGACAACTATCAATAAAATGGATTTGCACTCAGGATTTACCGATACTAATGTCGGTGCAGATACTGGGTATTTGGGCGAGTACTTGTACTCGTCCAAATGTTCCAATACCTTCCCCAATACCGGAACTTCCGGTCAGAGGGAGATTTCCCTTTGACCGGCAGTGCCAAGGGAGCATACAGCCGACTTCCTTCCCAATCAGGAAGCCGGGTGGTGGGTTATGGTTGGCTAGGAAGCCTGTTTCACTTGTTGTTAGGCAGCCTGGCTTCCTAACCAATCAGGAATCCGGGCGGTACGTCATGACTCGTGTCCTGGCCTCCTGCTCGGTCAGGAAGCCACGCTGCCTAGAAAAAAGTGAAGCTGGCTTCCTAGCCAATCAGGATGCTGTGTGGTGGGTCGTGACGTGCAGCCCGACTTCCTAAATGGCAAGGAAGCCAGCTGCACTTGCTGGTAGGCAGCCTGGCTTCCTAATCAATCAGGAAGCCCAGTGGTACGTCATGACTCACGTCCTGGCCTCCTGATTGGTCAGGAAGTCACGCTACCTAGAAAAAAGTGAAGCTGCCTTCCTAGCTAATCAGGAAGCGTGTTGACATCATGACTCGCCGCCCCTCTTCTTGATAATTGGGCCACAAGGCACCAGCATCGGTACTTGGTATCGGCGAGTACCAAAAAAAAAATACCGGTACTTGTACTCTACACCACAAAAATGGTATCGGTTAGGGATACACCGATATATCGGCCGCCGAAACATATCGGCCGAAAATTGCACTTTTGGCTAAATGCCGAAAGTGCAATGTTTCTGCCGATACAGCGGCGCATCCGTGCTTTCTTTCCTCCCCCCGCTGTCCACTGCTCTGTGTCCCAGCAGGGGGGGGGGGAGAAAGTGTGACAGCCGGCCGAGCACTGCGGTAGGAGAGCGCTGTGAGCGTCCGGCGTCTCTCCTCCCACACCGCTCAGCCTCCTGTCACAGATCGGCAGAGCGGTGTGTGGGCGGAGACGGGCCGCGCTGTCACAGGAGGCTGAGCTCTCCTCAATACACCGCTCACTCAGCCTCTTATGACTGAATGTGACAGAGGAGAACGGGTACAAGCAGTCAGTGATCGCTGAGTGTTTGTAGATAATTGAGGACAGAGTATGATTACTATATCCTCAATTATGAATGAATGGGAAGTGATCTACATCACCTATACATCACTTGTCGTTTGTTCATTCATGATTGTGGTTATAGTAAACATACTCTGTCCTCATGTTATGAATGAACAGGAACAAAGGTGCATCCCTAATTTGCACTAACATGGTGCTGGTGACATCTGTATTGGAGTTCTGTTGTGAGCGGCGCCATCTGCAGTCATTACGAGCACCGGTTACTTTTGGCATATCGAGTAATGAGCGCAGCAAAGTATATGGATATTGCTTTATATAGTATATATCTGGGGACCTGTGGCACACTGGCATCATAGGGGGGCATTCTTTATGTACAGATTGGATATCTGGGGACCTGTGTCACACTGGCAAGTTGTGATTAACTCCAAATACATGCATAGTGTATACTTTACAAAGAAATTGCAGCAAAGCGCTACAGTGTTCGGGTTTGGCTTGAAGAAAAGGTGGCAACCCTACCTGTAGGTACAGAATAACTAACTTTTAACAAAAAACTTCCACAAATACAGTAGCATGACCAACATCAAGTTCCAGTGCATGGGTGTATTGTGTGCCAGGCGGCTGGGAGGCAACTTGTGTTGCATTAGAGCCAGGCAAACGCTCACTGCCTAAAGTGACCACACACTGTTCTGGCCTGCCACAGGACATCATGGAAGCCAGGGTACCTGTAGAATATGATTTTTGATATCATATTTTTATGTCATATTCATATTCTTGTTCTTAAGGTGAAAAGTTTAAAAGAGGAAAAATAGCTTCCGTTCTTGCTTAAAACTCAAAAATGTGTTTAATTACAAAGTTACAAATGATTACAAGATTAATAGCATAAAACAAAATATAGAAATATGTAGATGTATAAATAAGTTCTTGTAAGTGTTTAAAGTGTTAGCATCTCTGTCCCTCATGTCTGTGTGTCCTGCATGTCAGCGTGTGTGTGTGAGTGTCCTTTGTGCTCCAGTCCCCTCCCCCTCCTCTCTGGCCATCTAGCCCCAAGTGTAATCTGAAACTTTGACAAACTATAAGGTATGAAGGGGGATGTTGAATGCAAACTATAATGCATTCAAATAAACGATATAATGTTACAAATACCAATATTTATACATAATTCAATGTTCTTTCTTATATGAATAACTTAATCAAGAAATATTACAGTATAGAGATATACTTTGTAAACACTTCATAAACTTTGATTTGGAATGTCTCACAGTCTTTCTTGATAATAAGGAATGTAGGAGGTTCTAAGCATTTCTGCCATCATGATTGATCAGTAACAGATGTATAGCAAATACAACCTGAACCACAGACTCTAATCTCATTGCGTTTATTCCCATACTGAACAAATGTATATATAGAAAATCAATCATCACTTATGTTCATCACATGCATACATAATCCCTATAGGAATAATACCCTTTTAACAGTACCTAACTAGGAACCGCTGCACCACCAGGTTGAGAATGTCTACCAGGCAAGGCACGTGGGTAAACTATCTCTGCTAATGGGCAGACAGCAGATTGGTACCATTGTGACAAACAACCTTTCCGGGCAAAAGACTCTGAAGAGCTGACTGAAGATGCAGATGGAGATTCTTGTGGAGTCCCCCAAGAGGTGGAAAGGGAGCTTCGAGGAGGAGGAGGAGGGTGTGCAGGTTTTAGAAAACACTACTGTGCTGTTGGCAGAAAATGTGTTTAAAAAGGCCCAGACTGCTGAAGTATGCAGGACAGCCCTGGAGATAGCAGTGGCCTCCACCCATGGGACAGTGCCATCCAGGGGAATAGGACAGCTTTTCCCTCCATTCCCCTGCAAGCTGCCTAGCCCCCTGGATGACTTGCTGATGTTGTGCCTCTCCCTCACTTTCCACTTTTCCTCTACAATCTCTGGCAACCAGGCACAGTCTGCCGACTCATCATCCTCACCCTCTTCATTGCACAAGCCCACTTGCCAATAAACTGCAGCTGCAGGAACATTAGGAACATCAGTGACAATTGTTTGTCCACTCGCTTTACTGTATGCTCCTCATGCTCTCTTCCCCCCGCATCTGATAATAAGGATTTTTGAGCATCCTCTTGCATCAAGTGACTCATGTTGTACTGAAATACCCAGCCCACCCCTCCAAGCCAGTTTGCAGGTCAACAGCAGGTTTAACTGTTTTTTTACCTTTGCTTCGGGGCAACCCCCCCCCATACTGTTAATATTTAAATAGGGCCCAGAAGCAGACATAGGTCAGATGCCTCTAATGTTAAGTGTTAAGTGTAAGCATACAGCTTAGAAAATGAAACACCATTAATAATATATTGCATTTAATGCATTTAATGCATGAAAATTGTTCAATGTTTTAATTCAACAGAAGTCAGTCCCTAAACACTGTTGTCAGCATTGTCAATGTGATAAACATAGTCCTATTCTTATTAAAAAATAAGTTTCTCCTTTTTTTCCACAGAGATCAAAATTGAATATGTTCCTCGTCACGGTAAGCGTTAAAGCATGTCTGGAAAAGTGGAAATCCACTAGTTCTATAATCCTTACATGTAATAACATCCTTCCCTGCATTCTATGGCTTTTACTGGTACTTAGACCCGTAATTTTTTATTGTGTCCTCAGCGCCACCACAAATGTATTGTCTTGATGCAGCCTTTGAAAATATTGGTAAACCACTGCTTGTTAGTGCTTTGGCAATAAGCAGGGCAGCCATCAGAAATTTTGGGGCCCCTTACACAGCTTTAGGGCTGAGCCCCATGGCCGGATTAAGAGCATCACGGGCCTAGTGCTGAGGATTTCGGTGGGCCTTTTGGTGGAAATGTCGACAGTCACCAGGGCCCTCATCCTCCTGTCCGGGCTGTGATTTGTATTCTCTCTACAGCTTGGAGTCAGTGGTGGAGTGCCAGGGCCTGGTTGTAGCTTTGAGCCTGGTAGATCTGCCACTGACTCCAAGTTGTAGAGAGACTACAAATCTCAGCAATACATTATACAAAAATGCAGAATACCGTCACTAGCTTATTGCTCTCTCTTAATATTAGTAAGGCTTTTGATACTTTTGGGTGACCTTATTTTTTTGTACTTTCGAAAAATGACCCTCATTTTATTTCATCGATACATGCACGCTACGCAGACCCAAAAGCATATGTTCAATATATGGGGCTTCCTTCCTGTAATTTTTTTAATTTGGGAGGCACGAGGCAGGGCTGCCCTATGTCCTCGATTTTATTTGCTTTAGCCCTCAAAGCCCTAGCGATACCTGTTAAAAAGGTAAGGAAAGAAAAGTGGGGCTTTAATTGCACCAAGCGACAAGTCCAATGAGTCACAATTATTTAAATAGAAATATATTATTTTATTGAATGCAAAATATAAAAACGGCCATGATTAAAAATTATAAGTACATCATAATAGAAAAAAACCTCCAACAACCACTCAGTTCCATGATTAGAGCGTATAACACATGATTGTAAGATTCAATAGCATGTTGAAAATAGTAATAATGGTAATGGTAGGTACTAGGGATGTCACGATACCACTTTTTCATAACCAAGTACAAGTACAAGTACTGTCCCTCATGTACTTGCCGATACCAATTACCGATACTTTTTCTTAAAAGGGACATGTGAAAATTTTTTTAAAACAATACTAATGATTTTAGGGCAGTTTCTCACCAGTGCATTGGAGGTGACAGGGTCTCTTTAGGGTGACATTTAGGGGTCTTTTAGACCTCTAGTGTCACCTTTCTACTTCACTGGATTCACTGAAAGTAAATACAGCAGGCAGTGGCTGGGAGCAATAGCCAGCCTGCTATTGGATATTTTAAATTGCAATAGCCAATAGCAGACTGGCTATTGTACCCGCCCACTGCCTGCTGTCAATCAGCAAAGGAGGGAACTGAAGACAAAGTTCTCAATCAGGTCCTCTCCTCTGATTGACAGCAGCAGGCAATGGGCGGGTACAATAGCCAGCTTGCTATTGGCTATTGCATTTTAAAATATCCAATAACACGCTGGCTATTGTTACAAGTGTCCATTCCTTTTCCACTTGATGAAACTGTTTGCTTTTAGTGATACATCTCAGTGTCAGATGTCCATGCTCCCTATGTGTTTAATAATGCGCTCATCACCAGACATACACAGACGTTTTCCCTCTCAATAAAAGAAGAGAAGGTCCATTATGTGTGAAGGCAAGATTTACAGCTTCTCTCCTCTCCTCCCCCGTGAACATACAGAACGGACATTCTCTTCTTTCAATGAGAGTGAAAACTGCTGTGTACGTCGGGTGAATGCTCCTTATGAGCACGGACATCTCACATATTGTGATATATCACCAAAAGGAAACAGCTTCATGAAGTTGAAAAGGACGGAGGAGTAACAGAACAGCAGCTAAGGTACAAGAGGGAGGGGGGCAGCGGGGGATTTCACAGTCAGTCTTTTCTTCCTTCTCGTGCTGGCTACAGCGGTCTGTGAAAGGGACACAGAGCTCTGCAGCCAGCACCAGCAGGGAGAAGAGACACTTCACAGAACACTTACCTCCCGCCACGCTGTCACACTTCCGTCCGGAGAGGTTAGAGCAGAGAGGGAGCCTGCGTTTTGTGGAGAGGTATTCCGGGGGTACTTTATACAGCAATGCAGATTACTATGAAGCTACATACCCTGTGTTCTTCCGGGTTCATGGCCTGATGTCTCCAGGGTTTCAGGAGGGCTTTGTGGGGTTTCAGGGGGGGGGGGGCAGTGCGGGCTCTCTG